AGCCCTGGGGCGGAGGATGCAGCGTCTCCTTCGCTGTCACCACCGATAAACCCAGGAGCGGCGACGGGGCCTCGGCCTCGACTGCGCTGCTGTTCCTCTGCCTCACACGTGCAATGAGTTGGGCGGTCTCAGCCTCGCACCACCGTCTGTCCCACGGGGGTTTGCAGGGCAGGGAGCAGGACAGGGACAGGATCGCTGTGCTGGAGGGTGAAGCTGCCTGCAAAGGGGATCAGCGATTAGGAGCGGAGGGCAGGGACAGGCAGAGGTAACCCCTCCTGCCTGCTGGCCAGGCAGAGACCTGGCAGCACTCATCACTGCCCTGAGCAACCCCTCCCTCGTCTGCGCACCTCTACCCCCGAGGCACGATTTGGGACAGCCCAGGCCGAGGGGCAGAGGGAGGAAAGGGGGCTGAGGGTCTCAGGCAGAAGAGAGTTGAAGGGTGAAAGACATTTTCTAGCTGAGGCTTTTAAATTTCTTTTTAGCTCTTTGTCTGATTGCCCTGCTGCAAAATCCCGGCTTTCAAAGAGCGAGATTAAAAAAAAATATATATATACACACACACACACTTGGGATTCTTTGCATTTGCTTTGTGGTTCCTGCGTACGCAGCCACATCATTTTTCAAGCTTTTCTGTGCTACCATAACAGCGAGCAACTCACTTAAAGGGGAAGAAAATCCGAGATTTTTCTCTCTTACCACCATGACCATCAGTGGGGGCACTTTCTGGGAAAGCGATAAATGTGCCTGGATTTGCAAGATCCTGCAGACTGCGGCTGCTGCGGGCGATGCAGCCTTGGGGGGCCGCTCAGAGGGGGGGGGCGGGGGGCCCCCCCCCCCCCCAGCCGATGGCGTATGGGTTAGGCATGATCTGGGCACCGGCCTGCCAAAACCGGGTAGGAAACATTTTAACCCTCTTTGCCCTGAGACAGCGGGACCCCCAGGCTCCTTTCACCCACCGCCCACCCGCTGGGACCCCCCTGGGGCTGGTGTTTGGGGCTCCTCGTCTCTCAGGGATGCTGCGGGGCTCGAGGTGGGTCGGGGGCACTTTGGTGTGCTGCTTCTCCGGGCCAGGATGCGGGCAAGGGCTCGGGGCTGGAAACATCCCAGCTTCAGAGAGGGGCTAAAGCCAAAATCGCTCTTTAGCTGCATTGAGCAGCCGCAGAGCCTGAAGCATCCCATGGGCAGTCCCGTCCTCCCCGGCAGCAGGAGAAGCCGTGGAGCATCTCCAGGTGCGGAGAATGGAGTCGCCCAGCCAGCGTATGGGGAAAAGCCTCGTGCAAACACCCCAGCAGGTCCGTAAGACCCTAAGGGATGCTTCGGGGTTTGCTCCCTGCCCGGAAAGCCCCAAGGATGCAGGCAGGGCTGTGAGCGCGCTGCTGCTGGTGCAAGGATGATGC